ATACAGACTCTGAACCCAAACGATTGTACCAATTGTCGCTTTAGTAAGTGCTTCAGCTTGTAATAATAACTCGTATGGCTACATTGAAATCTATTTATTTTGATTGCAGCGCGCTTTGGCAATGTTTCGATTCTGCTAATCAATCTCTTGATACCCTGCTGGCTCAGTCAAAAGTGCATCAATACGGTAAACTATACACCTGTTGAGGTTGATAATATAATATATGATAATATATACTCATATATACTTCTACAGTATGCCAGTATTAATCGTATTATTCACAACGTTCGCTGCGGCACTGGAAATAGAAATCCGGAATGGCTCAGCAATATTCTGCGAGAATATGTACTGCAAATGGAGCATTTGAAGCTGCGCTTTAGTTGCAACAATTTCTTTGATATAAATCTAAAGAGCTTTGGTGGCGTAAGTTGAGAGAAGTGAGAAGAAATTCGGATGATATATTCATATAAGATATTATCTACTTTCCAGATGGTGCTCACAATAATTACTTATAGCATTATTCTGATACAGTTTAAGCTAAAAGACTTGGTTGAGGCAAAGCCAAAGAGCTTGACGAAAGCTCATTGAAAGCTCTGTCTCGCTCTATGTTAACTTAACAGACCTTTAGATTAACATTACAGACAGAGAGCTGGCGGCAAATGCGATTTTTTAAAATACATATTAAATTGTTTTATTGAAACATTTATGCTATTATTGTTTCCTCAAGTGCAATGGAGCAACTTTAACATTCAATTCTCATTAGGCTATATCTTAGTAGCTAACATTTAATGTGGTTTTCGAATAAATTGTACTCATAATTAGTGTAATATAATTGCGACAGTCAGCTTATGATTACTTACGAACTAAATATTGCTTATCACCTACTGCTAAACATCTGCCTACCTGTGACCCATCAGTGTTGAATGATTTCTATAATTAGCTTACATTTAATAAATATATGCCTTGATTGTTTTTTTGTTTGTTTGTTCTTTAACAAAGTCGTGAAATGTTCAGTTACGTACTTTTGTTTGGATTTAGATTTGACATATAACTTTCATTAGATAATCACAGATTGAATAACTGGAATAACTTTTGGAAGTTCCCCGTACAAACAAGACATTGACGAATATTTAACTAGAGCAAAAATTATCTATTTTAAAATACGCCCAGCGACATTATCTGGCGCAAGCTAACCAACAAATCTCAAACATGTACGTATGTAATTAAATATAACACACACAATAATGCCTTTAGTAGCAACATTTACAATTACGGTTTAAGGTAAAGCTCCATCAAGTGATTGTTAACGACTATGTAGCTATGTATGTATATAATTGCAGTTTCATCTATAAAAGTAATAACAAAGTGGAAGGACACTGGTGGCCATTTATACATACATAGAACATACAAGGTGTTATCGTAGATACACAATTAAATTTACATCCAATACTCGGTCTAGCTATTTAAAACAGGCCCAAGTTTTCGTTCATATAGCTAAGCAGATAGTACAAATAAATAAATAGACACACTGTAGGCAGGAGATAATTCAGCAGTAGGCTAACTATTATCCCGTCCCGTGCTTTCCGTTCTCGAACAGGCCCTTCTTGAAAAAAGACGACAGCTGAACGAGGGAGGCACGCGTGAGGCCCGGTCCCCCGGGTCCGTCATAAATTGGACACTGCGGTATTTTCGAGCAAACGACGAAAAGACGACGCAAGTATAGCTCCAGCAAGCGACGACGATGCTTCGCTACCGGCTCACTGTTCGACGCAAAAAACTCCCGGCGAGGAAAAGGCAGTGCAGAGATCTGTAGAAGTTCAAATCAATTTCTTTTTAATATACAAAATAACCATAATAGCGCATTTCACTTACCTTGGCACCATAGCAGTGCTTCATGCACAAGTGCAGCTCTCGGAAGCGACTATAACGACGCAAGATGTTTAATTTGCCATCGGGAAGAGCAATTCGTACCTCGTATTCGTAGTGGGTCTGCTTGCCAGCTCCGCGCATCACGAAACTTGGTATGGTAATGAAGTGTTCGCCTTCAGCTGAGCACATAAAATGAATTGAAATAAATGTTGGTCATTTGGGTATTTCAGCAAACACATACGAAATTCTCTCATGGAGGGGCAAGATCTCGTCATACTGGGCGAATATATCTGTGAGGTAGATTCCTCCATACTGGTTGGACTCATCACACTGGAGCGCATTATGGAGCTTTCCAGCTCGTATTGTCTCTCCATGCCAGTGCGCTCCTCTCTGCAACAATCCGCGTGGGACTCCAGGTCCTGCACTGTTTGCAGCAATTCCTGCTCCATCTGCATGTAGCTCCGCTGAAGTTCCTGCAGCACCGCAATCTGCTCGTCCAGCTGCGCTTTGTTCACATCCGTTTCGAGACTTTTCATAATTTGAGCCTTCTGAGCAGCGATCTTGCGGCGCTGCACATGGAGCGGACAATAGGCGCGCGTCACGTCTGAGTTTCGTCCCAGCTCGCAGGAGGAACAGGAGCCCGTTTCATCGTCGCTGGTGCGCGTGGTCTGTCTGTAATTGCCACCCGATCCATTTTGGACCACCGCCTGATTCCGGCTCTCCAGGCACACTCCGCTGTCGCTCATTATGGCCTGCAAGCTGGGCGCATTTGAGGTGCTGCCGCTGCCACTGCTCGGGCCGGCAGTGCATGTGCGTGAAGCATCCTCGCTGCTGCCAGAGAAGTCATCCTTGCGCGTGTCCTCAGCGTCGTCGTCTCGATCGCACGAGCAATTGCTCAGCGGCGACTGCTGGCCCTCCGTGATGGTAGGCGATGACAACAGCGAGAAATCCGATTGAGCCGTATGGAAGGTATCACAGGTTTCATATGTGTCCGATTTCGAAACTTCGTCCGTATCATTTGCAGCTGGCATCAGCAGTTGCATGCTCTGCTTCTTAGCCCGCATGGCCTGGGTCTCCTTCTCGCTTTCAGCACGCTCCTGCTTCAATCGCTCCAATTGCGTCTGTATTTCCAGCATGGTCTCATCCACCTTGGCGATCTTGCTGGTGCTAGCGTTCAGTATGCGTTCCTTCTCAGCAATTTGCTCGTCCAGCCTGCGTATCTCCTCATTCTGATTAAATAGATCGATTTTAATAATATAAAAATTGAAAATAATAGACTCGAACTTACATTTCTTCGTACCGTATCCTTGATAAATTGTGCTGCAAACAAATCTAGCGAATCGGAGACGTGCAGCAGCAGCTCGTCATTTAGGGGAGTGCCGTTCTCAATCTTTACTCCCATCTGTAAATGACAATTATAGATTCAATTTAATTAAGCGTACAATCTAATTAATAGTCTAAGTGCAAAGCAAGGTAAAATGTTCAAAATAATAAACAAACCTCGTCAAGTTTGCCACAATCATGCAGCTCCTGCAATTCTTTCGCTACATACTCAGAGAAATCGCGTTTCTTAGAGTCGAGCTGCGTTTGAAATGCTGAAATTTGTCTACACACAATGTCGATCTAAAATGAAAATGAATCGAACAGAAAAGAAAAAAACCATAAGCAAATGAAACGAAAATAATAAATCAAATTGGACAAGCACATGCGAAACAAAAGAATCGTAGCATTACATGCATTTCGTTTCATCGGAAGCACATACCTGAACCTTTTCATTGTTCTTCTCCCAGAGCAGCATATCCTTGCGTGCAAGCAGCTCCTGCTCACGGCAATTCAATATCTGCATGTTATCCATTTTTTCCAACTCGAGACGCTTCAGTTCCTCCGTTAGCTTTCGCACCTTCGTCTTGTATTGGTCATGCATCTGAACGCGCTCCTGTTGATAACACGGTCAGATGTTAATAGAAGGTAATAGAGACTTGCTTTTATACCACATACCACATTCAGTTGCTTGAGAGCATTCTCAATGGTATCCAGAATTTTGCGATTTTCATCCTGCAACTCGGGATCGTCACGCGACGTGGGCCGTTGCGGATAATATTGGCGGTCGGATCGTTTATAGGGCGATGTTGTGCTGCCTGTCATGGCATCTTCGTCCACATAGGTGCTGCATGTGAGCAGGTTTTCCCGCGACGATGTTATTAGCGACAGGCGCGACATATCCAGCTGTGAGCGATTCAAGTCTTTGCGTAATTTTTCCGCCTCGGTGGGATTGTTAAAGCGAAAAATGTTGGTGCGACCGAGCAGTATGATATCGCCCTGAGAAATCTGTTTGGGTTCATCGATGAGATGCGCATTGACCCAGCACTGGGCTTGCTGGCAGGGATGCAGCGTAGCCACACCCCCTTTGAGTATAATGCTGCAGTGCTGTGGCCGTATGCCATCGCCCATAAGCTCAATGTGCTGCGGCACCTCTGCCTCCTCAGTGCCGATGCGAGTTTCGCCCTCCTTCAGACTGTAGAGAGTGACGCCTGTGGTGACATCATTGTGTATGCCGATCAAATGCGGAATCTCCGAGTCGAGGACAACGCCCACGCCGGATTTGCGCAGCCCGAGACTCTTTTGCTCCTGCAATATGGACTGAGCCACCTTCCACTTCTCGGTCCACTCCTCGGTAAGGACCTTCTCCTGCGCCTCCTTCTTCTGCAGATCGGCCAGCATCTTGAGCGAGGGCTGCAGCGATTGCTGATGGGGCGTAACAAATTATTATTTACATTATTCAAATCACTGAGTTAAGCAACTACTTACGACATCGCCAGTCAGCATGGACTTGAGCTTGTTGATTTCCTCGCGCAGCTCGCGTATGAGCTTCACGTTCGCATCCTCATTAACCGTGGGCTTGTTGATGATGTTCTTGGCGCGATTCGCGTAGCGCAGTGTGCTCAGCGTTTCGCTGTAGTTGCAGTCCGCCGGAGACAGAGCTGCAATCATGATTGTCTTGCTGTTCCCGCCCAGACTGTCCTTCAGCAGCCAGGTGAGTATGGAGTCACGATAGGGAATGTAGAGCACGCGCTTCGTGCCCCCGTTCGGTGTGGTGGCCAACGTGGAAGTATTATGGGCGCTCGTCTGTTCCGCTAATGCTGAAATGACGCTGCCCAGCGTGACCAGGGACTTATTGATGTGGGCACCCTCCTTTAGCCGCTGTCCCGTTGCACCCGTTGCATTGGCCCGTTCACTGCAACAACAATTGGTTAATGACATAACTCTCTATGCTCTATGCACTAGCCAACTCACCTGCCCGCCAAGTCGACCAAATGGATCTTGGAGACGGTCTCGCTTGGCATGTCATTCATGAAGACGGCCTGCACAAACGTAATCGTAAAGATGGCGTGACTGCGGCTGCTCGTGTCATTCATGTTGGTGCTGGCCGTGGTGCGATGGGCATTGCCGCGCGCAATGCACTCCTGAGAAGAGACAGGGAGAGAGAGAGGGAGACAGCATTAGTCTCGTATGCTATGCAAATCACATGCCAGCACTCACCTGTATCTCCTCAAAGTCGGAGACCGCATGCTGCGACAAGTTCTCCACGTAGGGGCCCAGGCTGCGATGCTCACGCACGCGTAGCGCATGGCCTGTGCTCTGCGCCGCGAGCAGATCCTTCACCCGTTCGTTATATATCTCCAGGTAGCTGGCGTGTGTGCGATATCCCGTGCCCGACTCCTGGCCCACGCGCATGCGCGCGAACAGCTCCTCGCAAATGCGCGGTATCAGACCCGGATTGCTCGGCGTGCCCATCATGGTGAACGTCTTGCCCGACCCCGTCTGGCCGTAGGCAAAGACGCAGGCATTGTAACCTGTCAAGTAAAACAAAGACCATGTGAATGCCAACTCCAATTACCAATTTGAAAAAGGTGAGAGGCTGTTGCATCGCCAATTGTTGCATGCAATTGCGCCACTTGACAAGCGTTGGCCAACACACGAGTGGCACTGCGAGCCGTGACTAATGCCTGGCACTTCGATTACGTCAAGTCTATGCCGAGTATACTCTTCAAACAGTGCATCATAAATATGATCTCCAATAGAAGTGAAAATGCAAAAGAAAGTCTTATTCAATGTGCTCAAAGATATATAGATCCTAAATGTGATTTATGTATATTTGTAGCTGATTTTAGCTATTTATGATTAGCCTTTCTGTGTTTATAATCGCATTGAATCATAATACTATGGATTACTATGCGAATATATTTTCCTGAATGACTGAACTATATTATTATATAATTAATATGAAACATTCACATATATATACATATATATAATATAATACCAAACGATATAGTGCTGACTCATGTGGCTTAGCTTAAGATAAATCGCTCTTTGGGCATATTTATACTAGCTGCAATCCGCTTGGCCATTGCACATCCGTAGACGGAAGAGTAGACAGTGAAAAAGAAAAAGAAGGAGAAAAAAAGTCAAACACTTTTACTGCAATTGCAGCTCAAGTGTCTGTGTCGGTCACCCGGCGGTCGGTGGCGACAGCTGGCCCCACCCACTGGGCGGGCTGTGACGCGTTTAAAACATTTCAACGGCTTGTTTGGCCGCTGGCGAGCACCGAGACTGCCTGAATGGAAATGGGACTCGGCGACGTCATCTTCGTCTTCATGGACCGCACAAGTGTCGCAACAACAACGCAAACAATTACACTGCCAAGTCACTGGCTCATTCAGCCAGTCAGCCACACGACAGACCCTAGGCAAACGCAAGCCCCAGCACCTCGCTAGGCAAATGGACATCACTTGCAGTTTTTATTTACTCTCTTGTAGTCTGCCCTTACATGGAGCATGACGC